CTTTTGGTTACATTACCCTTGATCATGCCCTACCAGGCCTTCCACACCCTCCTCACCACCGATTTGGATCACTTGTTGTTCCCTTGTTGCTCGGCTTCTTAACACCACTACCTTTCCCCCCACCTCCCCTTCTCCCATGTCCCCATGGAATTGTCGGTCCCATAGTTTTCTCCTCCAGATTGTTCATCCAGCCTATCTTATTTAAATCGAACTGCGGAGATAATAACATGCACAAAAACAAGACAGAGCAAAACCAAGCAACAATATACAACACAACAACAACAAACCACTGTCAAAGAACAAAACAAAACAAGAAAGAAAAGCTTGTAGTTAGTTCAAGAATTGTTTATTGGCCTTTAGGAGTGCTTTCCAGTCCAGTCTGTTGGGGCACCATGCCCTGACCCCAAAGTCCAACGTCAGCATTCCCTGGGGTCCTTGCCGCTCTGTTCCCTTGCTGTTCTGTTGCACCCCCTAAGTGTTTTGCCTTGGTGTGATGGGAGCAGATCGGGTTCAATTCCCACACTGTGTCTCTGGTGTTGTCACCTGTAGGGCTATGGGTCAGTGAGGGGTATTCATGTTTCATAGTGGGGCCGGCCATGTGGTCCTCTCAGTGGACTGGCTGCTCTAATTGGGAATATTGTCCTCAGGCCTGTTGGGCCAGGATGTGCTCCACTCTCTCCTCCTCCCCCTTCATCTGCTCGCGTGTGCTCTGATAAGCTATGTCCCTCTTCCCGAGCTGCAGATTCAATGCCGTCCTTTGAAATAAATCCTTCTTGGGGGAGGGGCGGGTATCCACATAGTAGTTGGGATTGTGGCTAGCCCCCCAGACCTCTCCACTGGTTCCTACTCCAAGCTGGCATGTTGCATTCACATCTTGAAGCACTGGGTTGAAGTCTGGTCCCTCTTTCCCTGTGAAGATATAAACAGTACCCTCCCCTTGGATGGGTTAGTGCCCTGTGCCCCTACTAACCTTTTATTTTTTATTATTATTATTTTTTCCATTCCCCACCTCCCTTTTAGTTGTCTACCATGTGTATCCCTGTATTTAGTCTGGCCCCTGCCATATTACCTGGTCCTCACCCCAGGAATGTTTGTATACAGTAGCTTTTTCCCTACGACCCGTATGCATTTTTTTAAAGTTTACCTCAGCAGATTCATTTGTACTTATCCTTTTGTGCTTGAGTTACTTTGCTTAGAATGATTTCCTCTAGCTCTTCCCATGCAGCGATGTGCTTCATACGTTCATCACTGCTTTTTAGCGATGTGTAGTACTCCATTGTATGTATATACCACAGCTTTTTGATCCAATTGTCAGTTGATGGAAATTTGGGTTGTTTCCAACTCCTTGCAATTGTGAACTGTGC